ACATAAACACGGTTTTTTTTATAGAAATTTAAAATAAAATCTAGATATTTAAACGAGGAGTAACGATTTTAGTTATTTAAACTTATTTTGTTGTATTTTAAAAATATCAAAATTATGAACTACATAMAATTTAATTACTACCAGGAAGTCCTACATATTGAAGACCGAAGGAAATTATCTTCTCAAAAACATGATGATAGAAAAAACACATTGTAAATCGTTTTTTATATATGATATTATGACGGTTAGGTATTTTATCAAATATTGTGAGTTAAAGACAAATATTGATCTTTCGTGTRATTAAAAATTCAAATACGCAATTATTTTATTATTTTATAAAAAGTTATTGAAAACAAAAAAAATCAATATTAAAGATCAAACAGCATTGAAACAATTATAGTTATTTACATAGCCAAAAAACAAATGTCTATTTTATGTATTATGGATGTATGATCAAATTTTTGGTTGTGTTCGTATAGAACATAATATACCGATAGTAAAAAGCAAATCCCGACAAAGTCCAAATAATATGTTATTACTTTGATTTTGTCTAATGTTCTTTACTGTTTTCTCTCTCTAAATTTAGATAAATTTTTATAAATTACAGAAGTTAGCTAAGGTCTAAGGAGAATCAGTTTTTAATTTTTTATGCCTATTTAATAATTTCACTKAAAATTAAGAACTTTTGATTGCAATATATTGTAATGATTATAATAATAATAGAACATAATAAAATTAAATTAAACTACTGCAAAACTATAAAAAAGAGTAGTTATGAATGTTAAAATTATTTATCAGGTTATTTAACTGAAAGCCCTATAACCATACTTTTTTTTGAGTATCATRTTATTTTTTATAAATTTTTTCGAAATTTTCTAAAATAGAGATCTTAGCACAAACCAACCACACACCGTTTATTAATATTTTGTTGTCTCGTTTAGCCGTCCACGTATAATTTTAGACTGAGTGTGAAACAGAAATATTATCATTTGGTAAGACATAAAGATAAATTCGAATTTCGAACATGGTTTTATTTAAAACCAGATGACCAAGCTATGATTATGGTACATAACTACATAATTAAAAGAGTATATTATAATATAATACATGTATTATGYATGTTTAAATTTCAATCCTTATTTTTAAATATGTCGTATTAGGTGCTTATAATAGGTTGAAAATTATCTAAGAAATTTAAATAAAGTACACTTAAAAATTTAAAATGTCAAATTTTTTTTTTTAATACATGTGAACTAGAAACACATCATTTGTAGACGGAAAGCATCGTGTTAAGCATTCCAAAATAAAGATACAATAATGCATTTAAACCTATGCCCTGATTCAGTTATCAATAAGCGTCGGTGTTAACAATAAAACTATGATATATCACCCAAAAATTGACACTTGTCATATATTTGGTGATATAATATTTTAAGATTATCGATAATACGGGTTGCTGGATCTATAGGTATTATACAGTCCAYAAATAACAAAGTACCTATAATACATGGCATAGAAAATGACCCATGTCGGGAGGGGGATATCTCTTATAACTAAAAATGTCTTAGAAAATATCCTTTTATAATTTCACTCATTTAAACGGTTTAAAAGTTAAAAATTTAAATTTTATTTCAGTGTATATTATATACAGTATGCAATTTAAAAGAAAGAACTGAAACAAACATGTAACTAAATATACCTATATAATAACTTTTGTTCCAATTAATATATTAATATTAATTTTTTAGTTTATAAGAACAAAAGTTATTACATGGTTATTACATTTGTGAATTGTTTCCGTTACATTCTGTGTATGATTGATTTAAGTTCAATTCTACGTCATAATCGTATGTCTGTATGGACACTGTCTTGCAAGTAGAAAATTGTCTGACTGCGCCCTTGTTCAATAACCATTCAAAGTCGGTCGTGTCAAGAGACGTTGRTTGTCCTTCGGTGGTTACGTATTGATTTGCCTTATCCACGATCGTTCTAATTTCGTCAATCAATTTCTTGAAATAACTGCACTTCCACTCTCGCGATTCATTTTCCTAGACGAAACAGACTTAATAATATTGACAATGATAGATAATCGTATACATCCATAATATACTAAAAAATATGCAGCAGCGGTAACAGCAAACTGGTACAACTCAATAATGCTTCCCATAAAACGATAAAACGATTACCGAGTATATCAGTATATTGGTTATTTACATGCAGGTAATGACAAAGCTGAYTCAATATAGCTAACGAACCTATAGGGCTATAGACGGGTACATTTAAAACCATGTATGCATTGACACCACTTTACCATGACATGATTTCAAAAATAAATGACAAAACCAGTGGAACAGTTGATAGCAAAAAATTATATTATGATATTCTTGGATTAATAAAAATAATAGTTTTATCTAATTGAAAATGATATACCCCAGTTATACCGTGAGTCGTGGTCTCAAAAAAAAAAAAAATAGATTTTTATAATAACATTATTGATAATGGGTTAATAACAATAAAAAATCAAAATATTTATGACGTCAATTTAGATTCTGACGACTTTATTTTTGGTGAATTTTAAGTTTAAATTATGACAAAATTGGATTTTAAAGCGTAAATAATAATGACTCTTGTTATAATGTTACGATTTAAAAAGTATAAATTTTTTTGTCTAATATTGATAAAATTCATCAAAATCGCGAATTAATTTTTAGATAATAATGTATACAATTTTTAATGTTAACAGCATAGCTTAAAAGGACGTGATACCCGCATGTGTTGTCTTCGTCTTACAAATGCGTAACATGGTACATTTTTCGCTCAGCAGAACACGTGTAG